ACAAGCACCCACCAAAGAGCAATTGTAGGCCTTCAGAAGAAAAGCCAGCTTGAAAACAGTAGAAGATTCCACTGTGATGAAACCTTACATTTTATCAACTGATCTGCCAAAGCTTCCAAGGGAAAATGTAAAAAATTACTGGCAAAATGAAAACGGATGCGGCTGCTATGTAATTACAGGCAATCTATCTTACAAACACCTGACTTGTAAATATGTTATGGCACAAACTGCCAGCTGCATTTTACTTCTGCTCTTCCCATCCGAGCCGCTGGTTTTTCTGACAATAAAGTACAGAACACTATCTGAGGTGAAATCTTACCCTTACAGCTCTCTTCTGCTTGGGGTTTTTCTCCTTTTCCTTTTTCTCTGACCATAGCACAGTGACAAATGTGGCCACAACGTGTGTATGTTTTAACACTCTTGTTCTTCTGCCTCTTCCTCGGGTACCTCACAAAAATGTTGCTCCTGTTGCCACAAAAACACTACTTATGGACAGCATCAATATGAACAATTCTCATCCCATACTGCAGGCTTTGATCAAGGAAAGAAGGCCCTTGCATATCTTGAAATAAATTTAGATCAGGTGTGATAAATATCAATGGATATCATCTTTTCTCATACTCCTTTGAGGAAAGACTGACATTTTGGAGAGTGCAAGGCACAATTTGGTGACAGTATTCAAATTTAAAATGAGCATGGCGGGGCTGGGGATTTAGCTCAGCAGCAAAGTGCCTGCCTGGCAAGCGCAAGGTCGTGAGTTCGGTTCCCGGTACAGGAGAAAAACAAAAAAATAAAAAATAAAAAATAAAATAAAATGAGCATGGCTTATGATGTAGCTAGATGACACTTACATGAATTTACCCTATGGATGCAGTCCCAGCAGTTCACAAAGATACAAGTACATGAATGTTAATTAGAGCATTGATTCAGAAAGCAACCTGCTTTCTTCACTTTTCAACAGAGTGCAGACACACAAAGAGATAAGCTACTCATTCTTTTTAAAAGATACATAATATTTCACCTCAAGAATCCCTATTCTTTCCACTTCTGTTTACACTATCACAAATACATGCACATACTCTCAGAGGATATAAGCTAATACTAAGATTAAATCTTTTGTTGTATTTTATTTCCAACTTGCTTTATGAAACATAAAAAACTAACATTAAATTTCATCATAAAAAACTGAGTAAAATCTATTGAGCAAAAATAAATGACAAAGTAACAAGAAGGGAGCGGAGAGCAGTGATTTAGATAAAAATGGAATATGCACCTTTGTCTTCTAAGGTTAGCAGCTAAATTTTAGCCCAAGCCAGGAGTGACAAAATGCACACTAGAGACCTGACCTCAATCTAAGCATTGCAAATAGTATATCAACATTGTAAAACTGTTACAGCATATGGCAATCCAGTCACCTCTCCGTAACCCAGGCCATGGTAACTTTCCATGTCCTTGGTTAAAGGTGAGCAAAAAGACCAACTAGATCAGCTGCCGCAGGGTGACTGTGTAGATCGCTGATAGCACCAGTGTGAATTCCTTCATGTGCTTGTTAAGGACGAAGACCACTGCCAGCTCCCACATTCCTACCTGGTGCCCCAAGATTGTTAAAGGACTTGTAGGGTATCTGGCCTATTTGTATACAGTTATTGTCATTTCTGTCTGAGCTAAAGGGAAAGGAGGCAAAATATGCCAGCACCTACTGCTTCTATTTCTCTTAACTTTATTGGGTCTGGATTATTTATAGTCTTTTCTTCTACAACAACTTTGACAGAAAGGGTTCAAATCCCACTTACTCGAAGTATATCAGTACAGTGTGCTGCAAAGAAACTCCTTAACAAACCCCAGGGAAGAGAAAATAATGGAGGCTTGGAAATTTGTCACCTCATGTAAGAACAGAGTACACATTTACGGAGACAATGTGACCTGCCAATCACCGTGAAAACACAATCAAACATTTTCCATACATCAGGGAATACATTCTGGAGGACTTGGCCTCACTTCTAAGAAAAGCCCTTTTGTCAGACTCAAATGTCAGTGAAACTGTCAGTTAATTAAGGGGTGAGGTAGAGCTTTGGGAAGCCTCAGTAGGTGCAGAGAAAAGCACCTTAAAAAAATACATACTGAATGGACATTCTTGAAAGCGTGCGGCCTTCTTTATGGAAGTGGTAGACAGATTTAAAGTTTCTATGCTTCTTCAGTGTCCTGAGTAGCATGGCATGGATATCAAGAGGAAGGGGAGGATGAGGCTTCAGGGCATTCAGGGAACAGCTGCTGGGGAGCTGCGGGGAGGAGACTTTCCTGGTCTGCAGCTCCCAGCTGGAATCCATCCAGTCATCTAGACAAGCTTCCAGAGCAGTAATGCCAACCACCCCAACCTGCCTTTTGCAACACCGAGGCTCTGAGAAGGAGGCCTTATCTCTCCATATTCAATTCATATTTTCTGAGAACCCACAAGACTCATCACACTGAACAGATAGTTCACTGCTCATGGGAAAGTCTAGTCTAATCCCTCAAGGCATTCTCTTGTAAGTTTGATTAAAGCTGACTCACAGTCTGGACTCCAAAGCTGCTCACCCACAAAGCAGTGAAAGAAACTACCTATGAAAGTCTGAAAACACCCGCAGGGTCACACTGCTGCTACTAGCTGGCTGATGGACCTCTGCCATCCACCTGGCTGGTGGGGCTTTTGCCATCACTGGGATCTTCTCTGTCTGCACCAAGCTCCTGGCCCAGCCTGGCTTCCTGATCAAATGCCTCATTTCTGGCATCCCACCTTTGTCTGTACTAATGTCCAGACCCTGGACTCACTTCTTTTGTCATATGGATCCTGCTCACTTCCCTTCCTCATTCTCTCTTGAGACTCTTTCCTCTCGTGAGGATGGGAAGCACCCTGAGCTCTGCCCCCACCCCTACCACCACTTCCCTGCCTGTTGTCCCATGTCACGCAGGTCCAGACCTGGCTTTTCCCTTGCTTAGCCCCTTTTGGCTGATATTGTGCTTCCATGGTGGAGATTTCAACATCCTTCCAGAGTGGTGCTTTTGCTCTCCAGGCTCTCCTGAGTCTAAAGGGCTTTTTTAGGCACCTTCTTACCAGTGGTGTTGTTCTGTGCTGGAGAGTGGGTTTTTGCAATCTCAGATTATAGTTCAGTGATGGCAAATCTCTTAGCTCTTTCAATGATAAAAACAGCTGTGGCACATGGGCCGTAGGTTTGCCACCACTGTTACAGTTCCTATGTCTCTGTATCCTCCCCCTAGGACTGATCTCAGTCTTGACTTCTACACTTATGTTCTCAACACATAGCAAAGTGAGGCATCACACCCATGCATGCCAAACTGTCAACATCCTCTTTAGCATTGCCCTCCCTCCCAGAGCTCCTCCCACTTACAAGAACCTCAGGGGAAAAACCCCCACTCATCTGGAGGAGCTGAGGCCAGTCACGACATGGTGAATCACCCACAGTTGCTTCACCTGACTTGATGACCCTTTGAGTAAAGCAGTGTCCCTGCTCTCCTGTCTGGGTCACAAAGTAACTATGAAAGCAAATGATTCAAGGGAAAGTGCTCTGGGAACCACCAAGTCTGACAAATACACAGAAGGGACCATCATTTTGGTCAGGCAGATGCAGGGCCCCACACTGGACACCTTCACTTGGGCCAGGAGAGGCTTAGGAACACAGTGTCCTACCTATGCGAGGTCTGAGCTTTGTTTTGTCTCAGGCACTCCATTCTTGCCTCTGTCACTGGCAGAGCACTATATTGTGATCATCTGCTCCACATGGAGACGGTGTCTAATCTCTGTACAGCTACAGTGCCTGACACCCCGAAGGAGCTTTACAAGTGACGAATGAATGCATATGTAAACAAACAAAGAAACAAAACACTGATTGAGAAGCAGATGGGAACACCTGGTATCAAATAGTAATCAGAAAGACTTCACCTTGTGTCCTTTGCCCAGAGCATAGACATTCTAGGGTGCCCTTCGGCCCACTCCCTGGGACTCACCGGTAGGGTTCCATGGTCCGAACGCCATAGAACAGCGCCTCCTCCAGTAGGCCGAGGTTGATGCAGGCATCCATGGCACAGTCAAGCACCTTCAGCTGGTAGATGTTGATATCAGGCAGCCGTTCAGAGTTGCTGCTTATGATTGACTGGCACATGGCCAGAACCTGCTCCCACTCTGTTATTAACCTTAGTTAAGGATTCATTGTCTTCATCAGAGAAAAACAAAAGTAAAATGAGATTCTTGAAAAGGCTGAGGAGCTCCCAGGCACAGGAGGGAAGGATGTGCCCATTATTTTGCACAGACGAACTGCCTGAAAACACACTTGAGAAACAAAAACATGTAAGTGGCATCTCAGTGAAGTAAATTCTGTTTACACTGACAAACCATCTTCTAACCAAGCCTGTGCTTTGGGAGATTTAATTTTCCAAAGAACCACTCTTTCTTCACTCTCATACATGTTTTCTCTTTAAACCTAGTCATAAAATGAATGAAGCGGTTCATTAAACTGGACTGAAGATTTAGTTCCATTTCAAATTATTTACTCTGTTGGCTTCCATTTAAAAACTGATCTGAAATTTAAAAAGCTTTAGTAAGATTCCTTTTGCAAAAGGAAGAGCATATGTTTGCTACTAGGTTATTTGAGACTTTGGCATACATGAAACTAAAAGCACACACAACCCAAAGACATACACTAGGGGCAGCAATGTGAAGCAATCCATTTCCACTGGATTGTATATTTAATTTTTCAAATTATAAAGCAAAAGTGATCCAAATCTATACTTGACCAAATAAAGGTGTCCTTATTTTAGGCCCTTAAAGAAAATATTAAGAACATGGCTTGCATATAAAGTGCAAGCCAGGAGAAATGATACTTTAAAAAAAAATGAGATGATCCAATATCTCCTCCTTAGCAATATGGACTTCCGCATTAACCATGAATCAATAACTCAATCTCATGGAGCCTGTGTATGACCTCACTTTTTCTCTCTTTTTTAAGAGGGGGAGTTTTGTCATATTGGCCAGGTTGGTCTCCAACTCATGGACTCAAATGATCATCCTGCCTCAGCCTCCAGAGTAGCTGGGATAACAAGTGAGTATCACTGTGTCTGACTTTTAACCTTACTTTCTAGACCTCTTACAGAGGTGGGCAGAGGACTGAGAACCTGGTATACTGAGGGTGCCTCCTTCACAAGCACAGCTGAAGGAAAGGGTGTGGGCCCCGGGACCTCGCAGCGTCTTTGCCACACAGCTCCTGGGAGCCAGGAGGATGCTGGGCTGGGGCTCACCCTTCCCCCACTCTGATCCACCTCCACCCCATGTAGCTTTACATTCATCTGCTTTCAAATGTTGGAATTGCAAATGTGTGTGTATGGGGGGGAAATGTCTGAAGATTCCAGATATAGCAGAAATGGCATAGCCTTTAACTGTAGATAAAGCTGGATTCAAATCTTCGCTAATTTTGTCATTTGTCAGATTTGAGGTTCTGAGAAAGCCGTGGTTTGACATAGGCCAGAAATAAAAATGCCTAATGTCACAGTAAGAAGGAAGGAAGGAACTGGATGTAAAATGAAAATATTCTGCATTCTGCCATGAACTAGGCAGAGTTCTCGGTGTTACAGACACAGTGGGAAAACATTTAGTGGCACATACAAAGTACATGCTGCACAGACACCAGGGCCTCTCCTTCCTTTTGGGCATGACCTGGAAGCAGGTGTAGATTTAAGGAAAATGGGGGAGTGGACTCGGCTTGATGGCAGTTCCACACCCCTACCCCTTCACTCCCACCTGACCCACTCTCTTCACAGCCCAGGGCTGCCCCCTTCCTCCTAACACACGCCTCTCCACTGCCGTCCTAACGCAGTGATCCCACCCTGAGCAGACAGACTGCTGTATACAGCAATGCTCCCAAAACCCTCTCTCCAGCAAAATCTACCTTTCCCCTCAGAGTGCCACTTTCCAACATGCTTGGAAAATTAGCAATCAGGCTACTTGCGTGAGTGGGGTTAATAACTTCTTGAACTCTCATAGGAAATATATTTCCCTGTCAGCAGGGCCAGAACAGCTTACCCTAAAGCATGACTTCCTTGGCGAGGATTTCAAGCACTAGAGACCCTTATTGCTTTAGGATGAGCCCTGGCTCTCAGGAGTTTACTGTGGTTCCTGAAGGGGTCCATTTATGGAAAAAAAAGTAGGTTAGTGATTTTCTTTTGCAGTCATCTGACACAGATGCTTAGGGTTTACAGAATGTATCCTCCAGAGGCTGGAGGATGTGGTATCTTAGGCAGTCCACTGATTTTGTAACAGATTGCTGGGTTAACCTCTGTGGCTTTTCATTCCAAGATTAGATATTTGACGAACTGTCAGGAGGAATGGCTGTCTCTTACACGATGCTAGACACTTCTGTGGCAAGACTTGCACTTTATTTTCACATTGTGTTGTTTGACCTCTACTTGTGTCTACTCATTTCTATGTATTGCAACTCATTCTAAAGAGGTCTGAGGTGATGAGATTTAGAAGTTGAAACCAGATGAGATGCTCTGCAGCTACGCACAGGAATACATCTCCCGTATCCCTGCACAAGCTGGGAAGGACTCGGTGCCAATTTCCCTCCACAACATTGGCAGCCATCTCCTGGCACATAAGGTGAAACCTCTCCTGCAAAACACCCAAGTGAGAGAGAAAAAAACAGAATAATTTTAACTAAGAGGCTTTTCCCCAAAGCTGATGCAAACATGTATTTGCTCAAAGATTTAGTCCTTGGCAGCTGTATGGCATTCACTACAAGTCACTGTTCTGTGGAGGGGAGAGCTCTGGGCCGAAGCAGGCCTGGAAAGCCCACCCACAGAAAACAGATCACCATGGGCAGGAGAGATAACTTTTTTCTGATTACTTTTGACTAACTAGAAGAGGATTAGGTAAGAAAGGAAAAGGGAAAAAAGTCAATTCACGTGGGACTTAATCACTTGCTGATACTCAAAGACTGTCCAAACACAGAGCTCTTATACATATACTCATGCACTTTTCTGCTTAAAGTCATCCTGGGGTCCCCTCACCTAAAACCCTAATCTGCACACAGCACTAGACCTTGCCTCTATCCCCCTCTTTTAGTACTGGCGTCTGGCCACCTCCCTGCCGCATGCCATCATGAGCTCTGTTGTCTGCACAGTTGCTCTCTCTGTTGGACTCCCCTTTCGATTGCTGGCCCAGTAATGAACACCTGCTAATCCTCCCAGGCACAGATCAGCTGTCAATTCCTCTGTGGAACCTCCTTTAATCTCTAAGAGCTGAATACTATTATCTTCGATGCTCCTAGAAATAAATATATACCTTGCCCAGAGTAGGTATTGTATTAGTCAGCTCTGTATCACTATAATGAAATACTTGACACAGGCAATTTAAGAAGTAAGGGAGGTTTATTTTAGCCTGTGACTCTGAAGGGTCAAGTCCAACACTGGACTCTCATGAAGGAACTGATGGCAATGGCAGGAACACATGTCAGAGTTAGCACTCATACCTCAAGGCAGAAAACAAGAGACAATGAGAGAGGAGGATCTCATAGTTTCCTTAAAGGGTATACCCCCAATCACCTAAGGACTTCTTACCAGTCCTCCTACCACTGCCACTCTGGGGCCCAAGCCTTTACATAAGGATCTTTAGGTGATACTTATCCAAAGGACAGCATGCGTTCATCTACAGTTTACTACCCCACTATGTAGGAAGAGTTGTGAATATGAGGCTGTGCCTTCTAATTTCTGCCTGAGTCATAAGGTGGACCAACAAGGTGTCTAGCACAGTTACTGGTAAAACTTTGTACAGTTGAGACTGAACTGTAGCTGGGTCATTCACAGACCCTAAATCTGCCACAGGGGATCACAGACAACAAGTTTTATACTCTCAGTGTAATGGTCCTGTAAGCTCACAAACGTGGACCTCTTGCTCACAGAGCTGGCTGTTTCCCTGCTATCTCCCATCTCATCTACAGATGGGCTTTCAAATTTCTCCTCTGCTCTGGTTCCTCTCCTGAAAACTTATTTCAATTTTTCTACACCCTTCTTAGTGTGTTCTACCCTAAACTGAATGTAAAATTATAGCTATGACCAGATCAATAATATCTCCTTTCTCAGTTTATATTATGTATTTCTCTGAATACATCCTAAGATCACAGTCATCATTTGGAGGATTGTATCATAGTCTTATACTTCAGTAAATTTTGCTGTTTGTTAAAACTCTAAAATTCTTTCATATATTCTGCTGCTTAGCTTTCTGCATATTTATACACTTGGATGTTTTGACCCAAATATAGACTTTATATAAACTCTTGTCAAATTTCCTATTTTGAAGCTCAGACACCAAACTTTCAGGATTCTTTTGACCTCTAATTCTATCATCCCAGATCTGCTATGCTTCCCATCTGTACACCTTTGCACATTTGATAAACCTGTGTTCTGTATTTTATTCAAGCTGTTATAGTTTAGAACTAAAATGTCTCCCAAAGTTTCAGAGATGGTTATTTGATCACGGAGGGGGATTAATTCACTGATAAGTTTGCAGCTGAATGTGCTGTTTAGAGGTGGAACCTGCTGGGAGGTGGGTCGCTGGGGACAGGACCCGGAAGGGAGTATTCTTGTTCCCAGCTCCCCACTTCTCGTTTCCTGGCCATAATGATACGGGCAGTTTTCCTCCACCAGGTCCTTCCACCTGGCGATCCCTGCCTTGCACCTGGCCAAACACAGACCAATCTACTAAAACTGTGAGCCAAGGTAAACCTCTCCTCCTTTACATTGTGGGTGTCAGGTATTTTGTTCTGGTGATGAGAAAGCTGACACGAGGTACTAAATTAAATGCTGAATTGGATAGAGATTAGAACAAAGAACTCCAGAGTGACTGTGATCTAAGCAGCATCATTCTTTCAGTACAGCTACTTGACAGTTTAGTAAGACACCTGGTTCTGCTAGTATCTATAATGTTTTTAGTCCTCCTTGTACATCCCTTTATGAGATTTAGATACAAATTTTACCAAAGAAAATATGACTTTATGGACATATTTTCTCTTAGTGAATCCATATAGCATCCTGGTGATCACAGTTTTCTTTTCTATTCCTTAGTCAACAATTGCAGATTTTTTAATAAGACTGCTAAAAAAAAACCTCAGTGGACTCTCATTTCTGAAACTGTATACTTCACCTTTAGAAGCAGAAACATCCATCAAGCTACCTTTCTTGTCCTTTATAATGCTTTTTAAAACATTATTTGCTGAGTAGAAACCTCACTTGCAGATTTTCTTTTTTCCTGGGACATAATCAGGCCAAAACACCTGATGAGATTTCTGCAGTCTATTTTCATTCTTCTCTTTCTTACTTGCGGTTTTCCTTTGTCACACTTTTGCCCAAGTGAAATTCTTTATTAGGAGTGACCTCCCACTCAGCCTCTACCTATCCAGTCTTGTCCCTGGTTTGGTACATCTGTCATACAGTAAAACATCAGTGGAGTTTCCCAGCTGACTTCCATCATATGCTCTCCCTTTTCTCTGAACTCTGACCTACTACTTTCAAGCAAATGTATTATGCAGCAACTCCCAGGGGTGGTGCTGTAGTCATGCCTGATTCGTGCTGAAGCTTCTAGGTCTGAGAGTTCATGGTATTAAATTATAAAGATTATAAACTATTCTTTCCTAGAGATGAACATGGTTAGAGGAGGTAGGGAATCTTATATGCATATAGTCTACTGCTCACTCTCCTACTCTTACTGGCCATACTATCTAACGGTGGTAAGGTATTCGTTCTGAGTTACCACAAACTTCCTGAACCACTGCCCAAATCCCTGGCTGGACCCAGAGATGTAGTTATGGCCATGAGATAGAATGAACCTTACAGAGAAATCAAATCTTACCCTTGGCCTCATTAACATCAAGCTTCAAACAATAAAGAAGTAATCCCAAGGGTCCAACTCAAATTACAGGTGAAAGGATACTCCAGTGCGTCTTCAGTTCTTCAATTTTTTTCAGGGATTCTTGCACTCCTTTCCACACTTGCTCATCACCAGTTAGCATATCAGCATCCTGCTCAGGCCAAAATAAAA